TTTTGCCCGGAGGCTGCCCGGCAAAATTTGGCCAAATCGAGCCGCGCATCTCTCATCGCATACGAAGAGCAGCCCGATTTGGCCAAATTTTGCCCGGAGGCTGCCCGGCAAAATTTGGCCAAATCGAGCCGTGCATTTCTCTGCGCGTACGAAGAGCAGCCCGATTTGGCCAGATTTTGCCCGGAGGCTGCCCGGCAAAATTTGGCCAAATCGAGCCGCGCATTTCTCATCGCATACGAAGAGCAGCCCAATTTGGCCAAATTTTGCCAGGGGACTGCCCGGCAAAATTTGGCCAAATCGAGCCGTGCATTTCTCATCGCACGCGAAGAGCAGCCCGATTTGGCCAAATTTTGCCCGGAGGCTGCCCGGCAAAATTTGGCCAAATCGAGCCGCGCATTTCTCATCGCACACGAAGAGCAGCCCGATTTGGCCAAATTTTGCCCGGAGGCTGCCCGGCAAAATTTGGCCAAGTCGAGCCGCGCATTTCTCATCGCACACGAAGAGCAGCCCGATTTGGCCAAATTTTGCCCGGAGGCTGCCCGGCAAAATTTGGCCAAATCGAGCCGCGCATTTCTCATCTCCGACGAAGAGCAGCCCGATTTGGCCAAATTTTGTCCTTCGTGTTTTTTGAGAAAACACCATGGACAAAATCTGCCCGGATCTACGCGGCGCTGTTTCTTACAAAAAAAGTGATGCGTAGATCCAGGCAGATTTTGTCCGTTGTGTTTTTGGAGAAATCGCCATGGACAAAATCTGCCTGGATCTACGCGGGGCCCGGCAAAATCTGACCAAAGTGACGCGACCCTAGTTTATATAATTTACATAGTTCTTATAATTTACATAAAATAAAAATAATTTAAATGGAAATGGAGGGGGGGCTGGCCCGCTTCCGAAAAGGCTCGGACTCGTGATTTAGTATTGGGAGAAGGCCCGGGCTCGTGATGTAGTATTGGGGGGAGGCCCGGGCTCGTCATTTAGTATTGGGGGGAGGCGGGCTCGTGATTTAGTATTGGGAGAAGGCCCGGGCTCGTGATTTAGTATTGGGAGAAGGCCCGGGCTCGTAATTTAGTATTGGGAGAAGGCCCGAGGCTTTTTTAATAGTTTTAAAAGTTTTAAAAGTTTTAATAGTTTTAATAGTTTTAATAGTTTTAAAAGTTTTAAAAGTTTTGAAAGTTCAGGAATCTCATGGCCGGTTAGTATTGGAAGGAGGCCCGGGCTTGTAGTTTAGTATTGGGGGGAGGCCTGGGCTCGTGATTTAGTATTGGGGGCAGGCCTGGGCTCGTGATTTAGTATTGGGGGGAGGCTCGGGCTCGTAATTAATATTGGGGGGAGGCCCGGGCTCGTAATTTAGTATTGGGGAGAAGCCCGGGCTCGTAATTTAGTATTGGGGGGAGGCCCGGGCTCGTGGTTTTGTATTGGGGAGAGGCCCGGGGCCCTGTCCAGGAAATTCCTGAACTTTTAAATCTTTTTAATGTTTTAATAGTTTGAAAGGCTTTTTTAAAGTTGAAACTATTAAAACTATTAAAACTATTAAAAAGGCTTCTGTTTAATAGTTTTAATAGTTTGGGAGGCTTTTTAAAAGTTGAAACTATTAAAACTATTAAAACTTTAAAAAGGAGAAGGCCTGGCCTGGAGATTCCTGAACTTTTAAAACTTTTAAAACTACTAAAACTATGAAAAACTATTAAAACTATTAAAAATGCTTCTTTTCAATAGTTTTAATAGTTTCGGCGGCTTTTTAAAAGCTCAAACTATTAAAACTATTAAAACTTTAAAAAGGAGAAGGCCTGGCCTGGAGATTCCTGAACTTTTAAAACTTTTAAAACTATTAAAACTATTAAAACTATTAAAAAGGCTTCTTTTTAATAGTTTTAATAGTTTGGGAGGCTTTTTAAAAGTTCAAACTATTAAAACTATTAAAACTATTAAAAGGAAGCCTTTTTAAAAGTTTTAATAGTTTTAATAGTTTTAAAAGTTTTAAAAGTTTTAAAAGTTCAGGAATCTCCTGGCCAGGCCTTCTCTTTTTTAAAGTTTTAATAGTTTGGAAGGCTTTTTAAAAGTTGAAACTATTAAAACTATTAGAACTATTAAAACCATTAAAAAGGCTTCTTTTTAATAGTTTTAATAGTTTGGGAGGCCTTTTAAAAGTTCAAACTATTAAAACTATTGAAACTTTAAAAAGGCAAAGGCCTGGCCTGGAGATTCCCGAACTTTTAAAACCTTTAAAACTTTTAAAACTATTAAAACTATTAAAACTATTTAAAACTATTAAAACTATTAAAACTATTAAAAAGGCTTCTTTTTAATAGTTTTAATAGTTTGGGAGGCTTTTTAAAAGTTGAAACTATTAAAACTATTAAAACTTTAAAAAGGAGAAGGCCTGGCCTGGAGATTCCTGAACTTTTGAAACTTTTAAAACTATTAAAACTATTAAAACTATTAAAAAGGCTTCTTTTTAATAGTTTCAATAGTTTGGGAGGCTTTTTAAAAGTTCAAACTATTAAAACTATTAAAACTTTAAAAAGGAGAAGGCCTGGCCTGGAGATTCCTGAACTTTTAAAACTTTTAAAACTATTTAAACTTTTAAAACTATTAAAACTATTAAAACTATTAAAACTATTAAAAATGTTTTTTTTAATAGTTTTAATAGTTTGGGAGGCTTTTTAAAAGTTTAAACTATTAAAACTATTAAAACTATTAAAAGGCAGCCTTTTTAAAAGTTTTAATAGTTTTAATAGTTTTAAATGTTTTAAAAGTTTTAATGGTTTTAAAAGTTCAGGAATCTCCTGGCCAGGCCTTCTCTTTTTTAAAGTTTTAATAGTTTGGAAGGCTTTTTAAAAGTTGAAACTATTAAAACTATTAAAACTATTAAAAAGGCTTCTTTTTAATAGTTTTAATAGTTTGGGAGGCTTTTTAAAAGTTCAAACTATTAAAACTATTAAAACTTTAAAAAGGAGAAGGCCTGGCCTGGAGATTCCTGAACTTTTAAAATTTTTAAACTTTTTAAACTATTAAAACTATTAAAACTATTAAAACTATTAAAACTATTAAAACTATTAAAACTATTAAAACTATTAAAACTATTAAAAAGGCTTCTTTTTAATGGTTTTAATAGTTTGGGAGGCTTTTTAAAAGTTCAAACTATTAAAACTATTAAAACTATTGAAAGGAAGCCTTTTTAAAAGTGTTAATAGTTTTAATAGTTTTAATAGTTTTAAAAGTTTTAATAGTTTTAAAAGTTCAGGAATCTCCTGGTCAGGCCTTCTCTTTTTAATGTTTTAATAGTTTGAAAGGCTTTTTTAAAGTTGAAACTATTAAAACTATTAAAACTATTAAAACTATTAAAACTATTAAAACTATTAAAACTATTAAAACTATCAAAACTATTAAAACTATTAAAACTATTAAAAAGGCTTCTTTTAATAGTTTTAATAGTTTGGGAGGCTTTTTAAAAGTTGAAACTATTAAAACTATTAAAACTTTAAAAAGGAGAAGGCCTGGCCTGGAGATTCCTGAACTTTTAAAACTTTTAAAACTATTAAAACTATTAAAACAATTAAAACTATTAAAAATGCTTCTTTCTAATAGTTTTAATAGTTTGGGCGGCTTTTTAAAAGTTCAAACTATTAAAACTATTGAAACTTTAAAAAGGAGAAGGCCTGGCCTGGAGATTCCTGAACTTTTAAAACTTTTAAAACTATTTAAACTTTTAAAACTATTAAAACTATTAAAAAGGGTTCTTTTAATAGTTTTAATAGTTTGGGAGGCTTTTTGAAAGTTCAAACTATTAAAACTATTAAAACTATTAAAAGGAAGCCTTTTTAAAAGTTTTAATAGTTTTAATCGTTTTAATAGTTTTAAAAGTTTTAATAGTTTTAAAAGTTCAGGAATCTCCTGGCCAGGCCTTCTCTTTTTTAAATTTTTAATAGTTTGGGAGGCTTTTTAAAAGTTGAAACTATTAAAACTATTAAAACTATTCAAAAGGCTTCTTTTTAATAGTTTTAATAGTTCGGGAGGCTTTTTAAAAGTTGAAACTATTAAAACTATTAAAACTTTAAAAAGGAGAAGGCCTGGCCTGGAGATTCCTGAACTTTTAAAACTTTTAAAACTATTAAAACTATTAAAACTTTTAAAACTATTAAAACTATTAAAACTATTAAAACTATTAAAACTATTAAAACTATTAAAAAGGCTTCTTTTTAATAGTTTTAATAGTTTGGGAGGCTTTTTAAAAGTTCAAACTATTAAAACTATTAAAACTATTAAAAGGAAGCCTTTTTAAAAATTTTTAATAGTTTTAATAGTTTTAATAGTTTTAATAGTTTTAATAGTTTTAAAAGTTCAGGAATCTCCTGGCCAGGCCTTCTCTTTTTAAAGTTTTAATAGTTCGGAAGGCTTTTTAAAAGTTGAAACTATTAAAACTATTAAAACTATTAAAAATGCTTCTTTTTAATAGTTTTAATAGTTTCGGAGGCTTTTTACAAATTCAAACGATTAAAACTATTAAGACTTTTAATACAGAAAGCAGCCATGTCAAATAGTACATAGAGGTTCCTCTTACATATATATATATATATTTTGTTTCTTCCTCTCCCTCTCTCTCTCACACTCTCTTTCTCTTTCTCTCCTTCTCTTTCTCTTTCTCGTTCCCTTTCTCTTTCTCCTTCTCTTTTGCTTTCTCTTTCTCTTTCTCTTTCTCTTTTTCTTTTCATTTTTATTTCTCTTTCTCTTTCTTTTTCTCTTTTTCTGTCTCTTTCTCTTTCTCTCTCCCAGGAGAAACTCCCCAATTACTAGAACCCAAGAAGAAGTTGTCAACTCAGGAAGTGGCGTTGAGGATTACTTTCTTGATGTGGGAATTTCCAGATATACCCCGCAAGATACTCTCATCTGTACTTTAGGAACCCCAAAAAGGGCCGTCAGGAAGCTTTTGCTTTCCTGAAGGACATGGAGATGAGATATAAGTCTACATGGGCAACCCACAGTTCAAACTCTGAAAGCAGGCCTTCGACGCTGCGCTTGCACGCAGTGCCCGTGGTGAACGTGTGGCGGTTGTTGGCGCTGCCTCTGCCTCTCGGCCTGCAGGAGTGTTCCACAACTGAACTAGTCCGAAACGGCCTGCGCAGGGCCTTGCAGCCAGGAAGCCACCCGAAACCGCGTCGCGAGGCTTACCATCCCTGTGGCGGATTCCGCACCGGTGGCCGACATGCGCTGGAGGCGTTTTCTCAGTTTCCATGCGTCTGTTCCATTTTTCTGCCTGGTGCTTGCGGGCATTCCTTCAGTTGCCCTTGTGTCCAGGACCTCGAATTCTTAATTCTTGGTCAGGGTTCAATCCGCTGTGTTCCAGCAACATTGAAACCTGAGCCCACGAGTGCGTGTCGTCGTGTTTCGGAAGGCGCCTGCTACTTAGAGGTTCCGGGCTGCATTTCTGAGATGTGCCCCTGAGGAGGCGATGTGTGTTCAATCGTCCCTCTCCATCTCACTGCAGCGAGCGGTGTGGCTGTCCAGGCCATCGAAGAGTTTAGGGTTTAGGGTTTGTAAGGTTTAGGGTTACCGGGTTTAGGGTGCTAGAGCCGAAAGGTCCGGGGCTTCAGGGTCAGTGGTGGGGCTTAAGGCAGAAAGCCACACCAATTTTCAGCATTTACCTCACGCGTATGAAGCACTTCAAGAGTTCACGGGTGTTTGCTTCATGTTACACCGGGGCCCTGAGGCACGGCGCGGTCCAGGTGACTCAGCTTCTTCTGGGGGGTGGATGTCAGGGGCACTTGCACTGGCGAAGCCTCTCTCCTCCTGTCACCACCCAGCAAACCCTGCAAGACCCTAAGCGGCCTTGCACCGGAGACTCCTCAGGTGACTCTTCCAGAGCGGTTAAAGGCAGATGGCAGGACCTCCGTGCCATTCCGTGCCTTTGGCCCTTCGGATATTTAGGAGCCCCCAAGCCTCCATTTTCCCAAACCTCCGTGGGCAAGGCAGGACTGGTTCTGCTACATCCCGGAGCGTGGGGCGATCCTCTCCCCTTCTGTGGAGGCCTTTGGGGAGGGCCTGGCGGCGTCGTTTTTCCCGTAGCACCCTGGGTGCCCAGCTTTTGCCGGGTTTTGGTGGGGGGGTTTTGGGCGCTTGCTTCAAGCAGTTTTCGTAGCGAAGTTGTAGTCTAATAAAATCATATAAAAGCCTTCTGTTCGGATGGATGTTGAATGATCAGTTGCTGCCCGCATGCCAAGAACTCAGATGTTGCAACTCGTATCTGGGCTTCACAAGTGAAACGAACCAACTCTCTTTGGCAACAGCTCCGAGGCTTCCCAAGCACGGGTTTGCCTCCAAGCCCCCTCCACCCCCGGGCTTCGGGCATTCAGTGGGGGGGTGCACGCTTGCAACCCTTTGAGGTCTTTAGAGCAGGGTCCGACACGGGAGCCGCGGCAGCACAGTGATTAAGTGCAGTTCTGAGTCAGAAACCCGCAAACCTGAATGCTAGCCCAGAAAGCCCAAAAACCTGAACAGCCTGGCCCCGACAGAGTTTTCAGTCGAGGGCTTTTGCCTTGTGTCTTTATGGCTGGGATTTTAGTCTGGGTCTAGGGATTAGAGGGCTCAGAGGCTTGGCTAGCGGCTACTGACGGCTAGTGTTGAGGGCTGACAGGTGTGAACCTGTGGGATGAAGTTCTGCAATGCACACATCTGGAGTTAAAGCCGCCGGAGCTCAACTCCGTGCCCCACATTGTCATGACTACAGGCTCGCGTCTGAAGCGCATGTTTGCAGTCATGTTCTTTTGAGCTCGTCGTGCCGTTTCGAGGCTATGCCTTCCTGAAGAGCGCCGTGGAATCTCCGCGGCAAGCACTCTGATGTTGTGCATGTGGGGGTGTCCGCAAATAGGGGTACCCTTTTGAGGGGTTCCTAGCACAAGGACAAGACTATTTTTGGGGCATATTAAGGGAAATGCGTAGGTGGTTTGTTGGCAACTAGGTGCGCGGCGCACATCTCGCCGTGCGTTTTCGTGCAGAGATTGAAAATTAAGATGGCTGGAATTTGCAAAAAATGGTGCTATTTACAAGGTACTCGGCGTCCTGAGAGGTGGGAGCGCGTTATAAACGGCACTCTAAGGGGGAAACACGTATTTTAGTGTTTTCGCCTAGGGAATTCACTCCCTTTAAGGAGTTCTGAAATGCCTAAAACTACTTTCCGTTTTCAAGGATTTTAGGGCTTTCAGGGGTTTAGAGTTTAGGGGCTTAGGGATGTTTTAAGGTGTAGGGCTTTATAGGAAAAGTTGCTTGAGGATTCTGGGGCAGTAGGATTTCCGGAATCAGGTTTTGGGAAAACCTCAACGCAGAACCTCAAACCCAGAGACCTCGACCCTAAGCCCCACATCCTCAATCCTCAGTCCTAGCCCTAAACCCTGGGACAAAGCAGAGCCGTAAGTACCCTTAAACCCCCTAAGCCCTATACACCCTAAACCCTAAACCCTAACCCCCCCCAAGCCCATAGGGCGGATTTAGCAAGTCGGAGGGCTACGGTTTAAGTCTTAGCATCTGCAGAGTTGCCAGAGGCCTAAACCCCGAAGCCCAACATCAAGGCTAAACTCCAAGCCCCAAACCCTGCAAACTGGAGCACTAAATGACTGAGGACATGCTGGCAAGTTGCAATAGGGGGGGCGGAATTATCCCCCCCCCCCCCACCCCCCCCCAGCCACCCCACCCAAGAAACCGAAGGAAACCACGCGGCGAGATACGCGCCGCGCTCCAACTACCTCGGCACAGCCTGGAAAAACCTGCAACGCGAGAAAGGAGTTGGCGGCGGTCGTCAGCGTGGCCATGCCGAACATGAATCCTTCGGTCAAGGTCAGTAGTGGAGCATTGGGCATCTAGTGTTGTCCTGCAACTTGCACCCTTGCAGGACTCGCCGCTGGATGCCCCCTCGGATCTCAATGCGTGGCCGTTCTGCATTGTGCCATTGTGCCGATACTGCTTTTGCATGCGTTTGCTGCATTTCCACGATAAACTTCTTGGCTAGTTAGTAGAAGCTTCAAGGCCTATGACCGCCCAGGATGGTTCGAGATCACGCCAACCCTTATCGCTAGCCTCCCATGTTGATCACCTTTGATTTTTGGCCGAACGGCCTAAGCTAAAGCCAACTTCAAACCCAAGCCCTGCACACCAGATCTAGTAAAAGCGGGTCCCCGAAATGGTTTGGATGAGGTTGTATGTGTTACAAGCGACGATCCCCCTGAGCCCCAACCGAGTCGTTAAGAACTGGGATTGCCTCGTCGGACTCTTGTTCTTGCAGTTTAGTGTTAAATAGAAGAAGTGCACGGATTCGGGTGTCTCCCGGACTAGCCAGGAAAATGCATGAGAACACACATTGCTGTGCTCAAGGTACCGGGCGTTGCTCGCAGACAAGCTCAAAGCGGCCCTGTACGGGGCAGCTCGGCATCCACAAGTGGCCTCAGGGCCAAGCTTGTGGGGTCCAGGTACTTCTCGGAGCGTCTTTGAGGGGTCGACATATGCCTTCTACAGACCCTAGGCCGTGCAGCACTTCGGATTTGAATTATTGGGACCAGGCCTACTGTATGGCAGCTGTGGCCCAAGGAAATCTCTCCAATCTGGTCCCCCCCCATGCGTACTTGTGCGGCATGTTGCCGCCTGGGCCTGGTCCTGGCCCTCATAAGCAACGGAGCTGAGGGCTCTGATCTGACCTTGGCTGAGTCACTCGAGCAGGTCGAGTGTGATGCCGTTCGGGTGGCTGTGAACATGTTGCAGGCGCAGGTTGCGCGGGTCCCAACTACTTCGCGGCTGAAGCCTTGGGACGTATACTGGTACTTGGTGGGAACGAACCACAAAGTAGGCACCATCCTGCTTCGTAACGTTGTTGGGCGTATGTTTTTGGTACTTGGTGCCACGTACAGCTGCCAGATGGACTATCAGGAAAAAGCTCACCCTGAGGGGATGATTACAGCAGATGGCCTGCACAATTGCAGCGACAGCCCCAATGCCCACATCCGATTCGACAAGGACGTGTGTCCGGTGAGTCTGAGGATTGTGCGGAAGCTCGCTGGCGGTTTTATGCGTGGTTTGGTCATGATCAGGGACCCCGCGACGATCCTGGCGTCGGCTTACTGCTACCACCACCGTGGCGAGGAGTATGGGTTGCAGCCAAAAGAGGACAGGAAGCAGTGGCCCTGGCCTGGCATCATGTTGATGGGCCCCAAAGAGGGCATGGCGGCTATCTCCGATGGCATGTTTGGAGTGATGGACTGCCTGACAGAGTCCGCGGAGGTTGCAGGTAACGATACAATGTTAGTCCGGTATGAAGACATCACGCGGTCCTCTGAGGACTTTGACAGGACGGTAGGAGACATGACAAAGTTCCTCTTCGGAGAGCTGGCCACCCCTGAGGAGCACCTGCAGATGCTGGTGGAAGCCCGAAAAGAGGACCTCCATCGCTTCACGGACTCGTACACACAGGAGCACACCAACGATGAAGGCTGCGAGCAACAGGCCTTGGCCGTGCTGCCTTCGCTCCCAGAAGTGCATGCTCAGATCAAGGACGCTCAATTGACTAAGTTTCAGAAGGTATGCTCGTTTTATGTACATGAATTGGGCCGAATCGGAGTTAGACCGACCAGTAAACCAGTGCCAGTAGCATCCATCACCTCATGACCTGTCTCCCTGTTTGCAGGAGTATCAGCGTCGCCTGGGGTACCGTTCAGACTTGTGAGATGCCCTGCGGAGGACTTGGCTCCCGCTGGTTTAACGTGATTTGAATGTGATGATAAAGTGATTCTGGTGTAAATCAGAGGCAAACCGATCAGGGGCGGATGTCGCACAGCCTCCGGCAAAGGCCGTCGAAGCCTCCCTGCCGTCGTCGAGGTCCAGGCTTTCGTGCCCTTGCCTTTACTGAAGCAGCGCAGATGCAAAGCGCTGTGGAGCGCAGCAAAGCGCGGTGGAGCGCAAGCGCAGCCAAAGCGCCGTGCAAGTGCACGCAGAGCGGTGACACCGGATTCCGAAGCAACACCAGCAAAAGGCACCAACGAATCGCCGAATCGACGTTTCAAGGGGGCTGTCCTTCAGTGTCCGGTGGTTGCTCAACCGACTTCAGCCCGTTCAGCCTCTGTAAGGGCGTCTTTCTCACTCTTAGAGTCTTACAGGTCGATGCAGGAAATTGCAAGGAATTCAACATGAATCCAGGAACCGACAAAGGGACGCCAAAAAACACAAAATGACTTGGGCCTTTTGCTGCCACTTGCGTAGAAGGCATCCCTGGCTGGGGCAACCACCATCGTTGTCCCGGGCGTGGGCTGCGGCGTTTTCAAAAATGATCCCAGCCGCTTGTCATTACTGGTCTGTGATTTGGCAGGTAGTGGGGTTGGCAGCTGTTTTAAGCAGAGAGAGTAGGCTTGGAGTGCCTGGGCAGGTGTAGAGCTTTGAGTTGGATGTTGTTGTTGCAGGTTGTGCAGTTTGATGCATGGAACTTAGCATGGGAAGAGGCCATTTTAGGCACCGAAAGTTTTGCGGTCTTGTGCTCTGCTCGAGAAGGTCAGGGCGACAGCAATTTATGCCCTTTCCTGCAATTCCCCGTGCTTCCCTTCTCCCCTCTGGCATGTCGTCCGTGAAGATGCAGTGCGCTACAATCTACAAATTCCGACCTACTCTGACCTTTAGGGCCCCTTTGAGAGGTGACGTCGGCGCAGCACTGGCAGAGGCCATCCGCTCCGCAGGCGCAGGGCTCCGCGAGGCGGGTGAACCTTGCCAAAGGTTCATAATTCCCACAAACTCCCTTTAAACGGGAGGTGTGCGTCTTAACTTTAGGTAACGTCACCCTCGTTTTTGGAGGTACAAGGGATGCACTGACAGTGGGTACTTCAGGGTCCGGCGTAATGGGCCGCCGCTCTCCAACAAAGACAATGCGAACACACTTTGCGAGCCAACGGAAGTTGCACACCTTTACCCAGCCCCAAGCACCCCTCGACTCTTACCTTGAAGGTGGTCCTGGCGGGGGTCCCACAATCCATGGCTTCGGCGGCTGCTGCGCCACTGGGCCAGCGCCTGTGAGAGGGCAGCAGTTCCCACACAGCAGAGTCTTGGACCTCACTGTCTCCCGGGGCAGCCTTTGAAGGGTCAATAAAACAGGCGCCGTGCGCAGTGCACATTTTGTTCAGTCGAGGATTTAGAGGAGTGTTTAGAGGTCTGGTCCACCAGTAGGGTTCGGCTGCATTCCGTGCCATCCAGTGCCTGTCCCTGGCAACCCGTAACCTGGGGCGTGTAAAGCGCGGTGCATGAAAGGGGCGGGGGGCGCGGTGGCAGCACCGGAGCAGAGTCCGCCTCGGACCCAATGTCTCGCAGTTGCCGCGCAAGTTTTCGCATCAGGAGCCACGGGTCGTGGACAGCGGGGATGCTCTCAAGAAGCCGGTCCTGGTCGTCGCAAGTGCGCCGGAGCTGGCGCGCGACGAAATCGCATGCAGCCAGTGCCGACCAAGAAGGGCAGTAAGCCCGTCCTTCGGCTTGGAGAGCGGCTCTGGCACCCTGCGCTGCGCAGGCAGGGCGCGGTGTCTACCGGCTGCTCCAACGTAGGTCTGCGCCGCGTCCGGGCATGTCCGGGCATCGCGCATGAATCGCTGGCGGTCCCGGTTTGCAGCTTTTGGCAAGGGTGACGACTGGGCTGCTGCTCGCAAGGTTGCCTGTTTGCCGCGCCGAGCCTGGGAGGTTTCGACCTATTAACAGCTGAATGGGCAGCGCCGGCAGCATACTGGGCGGCGTGGGCAGATGCGCTCCCGGTGTTGCGCCAATGTTACCCCGACGCAGCAGGCCGGCTCGTGCGCGAGCTCGAGGCCGCACCATCGTCACCTTGCCTGCGCGCAGCCGCGGAGGCGGCGCGCCAGGGAGAGGCGCTGACGTCCCAGCAGCTGAGGGCAACTCGGCCTCGGAAACCCTGTTTGGCAGCGACATGCCGTTCTCGCACTTCAAACTTTTTTTCGAGAACGCGCGTTGCTTCCGGCCTTGTCTCCTGCCGCTCAAGCCCTCCTCCAATCTCAATCCGGTCCGCTTGCCACGATATACCTTCGGATGCGGCGTCCACCCTCGCGCCCGATCTCATGCACGTCGATGCGGCGCCGCTTTCGCTTGCCCCCCGCTCGCGGAGCTGCAGTGTGGCGCGGAAGGCCGACACGGTTGTGGGGCTGAGGTCGGTGCATATGGAGACCACCACCTCGCTGCCCCCGCACAGGTCTGCTGCCTCGACGGGGATTCCTTGCGGAGAGGGCGTGGGTTAATTCAGGTCGCTCGTGAGGCAGTCGGTCCGCAGGGCCGGGTCGTGCCGCAGCAGTGGCTGTCGCCCACCACAGCGGCGCACATCCATGCCGACGACCGTCGCCGCCTCGACGTCGTCTACTGCGGAACAACGACCTTCGAGGCCTTGTGCTGTGATGCAACGCTGGTGTTCTCGCTCACTCGTGCCCGGGGCCGACGCCCGGGCGGCGGTCACGCTGTTGCGGCGCGCAGGCGCAAAGTCGCACGCTACCTGGAGCTCACGCGTGGAGGGCCTCGACGGCCGGTTGTCCTGGCTGCTGCAATTCCTCCGCACCCTGCTCCGGCTCCGCGTCCAGCGCGCACCACCACCCTCGCGCACCGGCGCGGCGCTGGTGGAGTTTGCCGAGCGGTCGCCAGCTCCGCGATTGGCGTGTGCTCCATGCTGCCGCTGCCTGGTGCGCCAGACACGCTCCCGTTGGGTGACGTGCTCGACCTCGCGAGTGCGAGTGCCCCAAGTCGGCTGCCGCTTCGTTAGCACTCCGTCGGAGTCGGAGGCGGACGCGCGGAGGAGCAGAGAAAAACAAATCAAGCTTGGAACCATCGAGTGCAGCCGCGTACAGTCTGTACATTTTTCGTTAACGATTTCCACATGATAATGCTGCAGCGGGTGTCGTGCGCTTACTGGGAGCAAAACTCCGTCGCTGGACGGCCCTGGCAGCGCTCTGCGGGCCCACGCGCAGACTCTCCTCGAGTCTTCGAGCTGCCAGTCCACCGCGTTGCTGGACGCCAAAAGGCGCGAAAAACAAAATAACGGGCGGATTCATTTATCGCTGTGCCCTGCGGGGTGACTCCGCAAAACACGCGCTATTTCACGGTTCCATCCTACTCTCACGATGCTATCCCAAAATATCCCAAAAAAGGTATAGAGAGCAAACCTTTCCTATCATTGTCATGTTTTGGGTCTTGTGTGCCCTCGGGATGCCGGTTCTGGGCTGACATGTTGGGCTACCTATGGCTGCTTGCTGTGCCCGGGGTTATGCTATGCAACGTGATGCTGATGCAGGCGTGGCGCCACAAACGATTGAAGCTCCCTTTCACTCGGACAATAAAAAGCCTCGGTAGGCAAAAATACAACCTTAGTGCGTGTGCTGCTGGATCTCTGCCCAACGTTGGTTGGGTACCGCAAAGAGGAAACTGCACTACCCTCAAGGCCTTGTCGTGACCTAATGGGCTTTAAAAGCGATCTGCAACACGTTCACAGGCTCGATAACATAGCCGTTGAAGCATGACTGAAAACTAACTCGGTCACAGGGCTCCGTCCTACGCTACAGCTCGGACAGTTTGCATCAATTACTACGTCTTACGGACTACTCAAAAGATGAGACTCATGGAAAACCAGTCCACGTAGATTTTCACAGAGTCACCAAAACGCTGCAAGGATCTGGGGGTTACAGTTCATCATCTTCTCATAACTGCAAACTCTGTCCTTCCTCGCCATGACTGCGAGAGCCTGCGTGCTCCTTGGGAAATGTCGTCTAGGATGTAGTCTGGATCTTGGCCTTCAAACTGAAACCATATCCTCCGTCTACCAGCGAGGCGCGGCGTGTTGCTCCAATTCCTTCAGCTCCCGCACATGCAGTGTGCCTGGCTTCTGCTCCGTTGTTGCGCAGCTCCGCGCGCTCAGCACCTGCTGCGCACTGTTCCTCCGGCCGCGATAGCCGAGCACGCACGTGCGCGTGGTCTGGTCGTTTTTTTTTTTTTTTTTTTCCCCCACGCCTTTTTACGAACGGTCGCCGCGGTCCCTGTGCAAGAAGCCTACCAACTACGGGCCGGTTCGAGGCGCCGGGAGGCGGCTTGCGAGCAGTGCGGGGCCACCGCGGACCTCAGCGAGGACCTCGTGCAGGTCAGGCGCCTCTCCCGCATCGCAGAGGTCACCCCCAGGCGGCAGCTCCAGGAGGGAGGCCGCATAGGCGCGCATAGCGGCGACCGCGAGGAAGCCGGACCAGCGCTGGACCCAGCCGGCACTGGCAGCGGCCCGGAGCGGCGGCGGGAGGCTGGAAGCGCGGTGCCGCGCGAAGTGGCGTAGGAAGGAGGCGGCTTCAGCACCGAAGCGCCCGCCAACCTCGACCCCGACAACGACGAGACGCGCCCGTCGCGCGCTCGCGAGCTCGGGGTATGTTTGGCGCCGCTTGCGACGAGCGGCGGCCTGGACTGCCGCGCCAGGGCGTGCGGCGGCGCCCGGCTGCGGCTCGCCGGCCCGCGTAACCGGACTGACGATGGTTGCATCAATCGCGAGCTGCGCCCCGTGCCAAGGGGGCAGGCCGTTCGCGACGACCTCAATGCAACGCGCGTCGCTGACAGGAACATCGATGTTCATGTCAGCGAGCCTGACGTTGCGTGCAACTCGCGCGCCGCTCTCCCGGCAGATGCGGGAGACCGCGTGCTCAAGTGGGAGGGCTCTGGACGCCAACACACCGGACGTCGCACAGGCTGAGCGGTGGTCTCCCAGCGGGTCGAGGCGGCCTGGGCAACGACAGGTGCGCGGCGCCAAGGGGAGCGGCAAGCGCAGCCGTCGCAGAAGGAGCACCCGGAGGTGGTCGGGGGGCAGGGCGACAGCGGCAGACGTTGGTCATCGGTGTCGGCCCAGCCACTTGCAGCACAAACCGGGCAACGCATGTCATCCGGAGTGTCGGACTGGGCACGCTGCTGCGCGAGACACGCGAGGTGCAAACGGTGGCGGGCGCATGTTGGGTGGAGGACTGCGGATGCCTCGCCTGTGGCTGTGAGGTCCATAGGGTCCAGGCAAATGGCACACAGGTCGGCTGCTGGGAGAGCGGGCGGTGGGTTGAGGGAGAGGTCCGACTCTCGTGGGGTGTTGGGGGGCGTGTCGTCCAGCACCGTTACAACAGAAGCCGCGCCTCCTGCATTGCCAAGGCCGGCGGCTGCCGAGGGGGGCGCGCTGCCACCTGGCACGGCGTGGACAGGAGGGCTGCGGCGGGAGGTGGGAGAGGCATCACGCGAACGCCTGGACATACGGATGTGCAATTGTAGATCTGCGCTGGACCCTGCGCAGGCGCACGAAACGTTTTGTTGACGGCAACACGACACGCTTTGTTGATCTCACGGGAAAGCAGGCTAGCAGTGTCCGTCGGAGAAGTTTGGTCCAACTGGCCGGAACACTGGACAGGCAGATGGAGGAGTATTATGCAGCCCGGCAGCGTCAGCGATGCAGGGGCTGCACGGCTGCGCGCGCCAACCACAAAGCTGAGGCCCCGGCCGGAGGGTACAAAGCGACACCTGTCTGTTTGCTGGCCGCGGCTGCAACACGAGGCGAGGCGCTGCGCACCACCAGCCGCGGCTGCCCAAGGAGCGCCGGCGGCCACGGGCGGCCTAGCAAGTGGGCCCGGATGGGGGCCACGGCAAGTGTCGAGGAGGCGGACACGGGTGACCGGGAGCAGTGCCGGGCGGTCTCGACCGAGGGGGACTGGATGCCGCACAGGGCAGTGCCAGACAGTCCCAAGGGAGGTACCGGATGCTCACACTATGGCGCGGGCTACGGCCCCCCAGCTGCGCACCAATCGCCCAGGAGCGGCCAAGCGGCCTCCCAGCTGCACCAACGCGTGCCCAGGGACGACCGCAACAAACCACCTGTTCTGTTTGCTACACTTCGCTCTGTGCCTTGAGCTAAAATCTCTACACTTGAGCCAAAATATTCGTCTATGGTAACAAATTGGAGACCAATCGCGGCGCTCAAAATCACCTACAAGATCTTTTCGAAGCTGGTACATGCGAGAATTCAAGATCTACTGGAGCGTGAACAAAGTTGGGATCAAATGGGTTTCCGGTCATTACTTGGAGTGGATCACGCGCTTGCTGTTCTTGACACGGTTTTGTCCAAAGCTGTGGAGTGAGATTTTGACGTGTGGTGCGCCAGTCTGGATTTGAAAAAGACCTTTGACCGCATCGAGTTCAAACCACTTCCCGAAGCATTGCGATGTCAGGGTTTGCCCGACTGCTACAAAAACTTATTGCAAGCATTGTACCGCTCACAATCTGGATCCGTGTAAAAGGGTCCCCCATTTGACATCCAACGTGGGGTGAAACAAGGTTCCAAGTGGGATGGGCAAAGTTTCGGAAACACCGTCATCTTCTTACACAAACATGTGTCCATCGCATTGAGATTGAGATTTTTCGGTACAGTATTGACTCCAACCGTTTTGTTTGGATTGCACGTATTGCCGTTGACTCTGTCACAAATTCATGCGCTGGATGCATTGCAACGCCGAATGCGTCGCTCTGTGGTTGGCTGGGTGCGAGTTGCAAACGAAGATTGGCACAGCACTATGAGCCGGAAACACAGACTGACTGCAGCGTTACACATACACTGGTCTGGCCAACTTGCACGACGTCAGTACAACTTCACTTTCCAACTGTTGCGAATTCCCAATTGGGCCGCGGCCGTTGTTAAATGGTGTCCAGAAAGCAACTGGCAAGAACATTTTGCTTTACAACTACATCGTCGACCTGGTCGCCCGACTCCGGAATTTGCAGCCTATGATTTTCCAGCGGTGAATACGTGGACTGATCTTGTGCAAGCGGCCGTCGGCACCACTGCCCTTGGCCCGGCGCCCTGCATCTCGGCAGGCTCGGGCTTCGCGCCGCTGCCGCTGGACCGAGTCCTAGAGCCGGGCGTAAGTGCGGCAACTAGCCGCCTGCCCATGCGGCCTTGAGACCACGAGTCAAATGCTGAAACAGCAAATGGGCCGCCGACGCAACCCTGGTGTCGCCCGTGCGATGCGATGGCAGCCCCCAAGCTGGAGCGCCTGAGGGGATGGGGTCGCACTTGCGGTGGCGCAGTGCCGCAAGCTCGCACGGGATCGCGAGCTCACCCGCGAGGGCCCACATCGCTTATGCGTTCTAGCCGCTGAAATCGTGGGGTGCTGAAACGACGAGTCCCAACGTCTAGTGCAGCGCCTCATCGCACTGCGCGTCCGCCGGGCCCAATGACCTGGGACCTCGTAAGAGGATCAGCAGATTGCCACGTTGCATAAAACCTACCTGCTAGCACTGCCTGCCAATACACCCACTACTCGGAGCAAGGTCCTCCATCAATGGGGAAATACGCTTCCACGATGCTCGCGTCTCCGCCCGAGCGTCTCCTCCCGCATTCATGGAAAAGGCACAAGCGCAACAAAGACTACGCAGGAGGAAACAGGGTGCACGCCTGCGCTGGGACTGCGCTGTTGGCACTGGTGGGTAGGTTTTCCTTGAGAGCTCTTGAAACCCAAAACCCGCGAGGCGCCGGCGCAGTTACGCGCCGCAGCGGCACGCCCACTTCACAGCTGGACCGGCCTTCTCGCCGTCGCAGCGCAGCGAGCCTTGGCCTGCTCCCTGCTCGAACTCCCGATGGCAGGAGCGGACGGGCGTGATGGAGCGGAACTGTTGGGTGACCTCCTGGCGGACGCGAGGGCCACGGAGAACGTGCCGGCAAGCCTGTCCGAGGAACAAAAGGAAAAACCTGGAGCTTTGGCTTGGCCGGCGTGGCGGAGCAATGGGGAGGAAACTGTCGTATTGTTTTGCTCCCGGCGGAGGACGCGCCCATGCACGTTGGGACTTCATGGCGGAAAGGAAAGTCACCGCGTGACCTTTAGGCTTGCTGTCCTCGGTTGCCGTGTGGGCAGTCGAGGCGCTCCAGTTGCCAGTATAGGCATGTGTGCCACAGAGGGCCGCCGGGTCCCCATGGGTGCAAGAATTGCACGTTGTGTGCTCGGAACCAACCGCGTCTTGCTGCCCTCCTTGCCTTGCCCCACCTTTTTCGGTGCGTTTACAGTCTGGCCTTTCTCATGGCCATACCCCAGGACCCACTCCACGCTGGCCCCTGTGTTTCCGGTGCCTGCCACTGCGGCTCGCCACGTGCTGTTACGGCGGAGGGTGTGGGTTCCCATGGGTCCGCGTCGCACGTGAGGTTGTTGGTCCGAATTGCCAAGTGGTGCCCCAGCGGTGGCTGCGCGCTTTTTGCTTTTGAACTTTGGTGGGTTTTGTATGCGCGTACAGGGTGTCGAGGCCCGCCTTGCCGGAAAACACATTTTCATGTCATGGTATAGGAGATGTTGCGCAGGCATCGGACAGGGATTGCAGCAGTGTTGGAAATCGATTGTCCAGGAGATTCGCCAATTAGTTTGATGCACATTGTGAGGCGCAATGACGCTGGATCAAGGAAGGGACTAAGTTGAATGACATATGGAAAAACGTACAATATCCAAGCCGAAAACCTCCAGGCCCCAACAATGCGGTTTGAACCGCACCCTGGTTAGCCGGCGCTGGTTGACTAACCCGTGCCATCGTCTACAATGCAAGAACGTAGGGAATCATTTTTCATACACACATATAGTTGTATGTATACATATGCGTATATACATGTGCAAAATGGCATTGTTTTGTCGTTAGCCCAAACGTATGCTGTAGCAGTGCCTCCACATTCGCCTGCGCCGAATTTCATGCTGGCTGGGAGTTCTACTGTGAATGGCACAGTCCAGCACGCAATGATGGACGACGGCAATGAGCATGGCTCCAGTTTGCACAGCCGCTTGAAGACGGAGTTCGACGAAGTCATGAGTACCAGCATGCAGCGTCGTTTATCACGTCTTCGGGAGGAAGTGGATGTGCTTTTCAGTACATTGCAGACTGGTACCACGCCCAACGGCTGTGGTAGCCACAAGCAAGCTGCAAGCGCTTCGTCTGCTTCTGCTACGGCTGGGCCGGACACTAAACCGCTCTGTGAAACGGTTGCCAAAGCTATGCGCCGTGCCAACAAGTGCCGTGGCTAAACAAGGTAAAGCGGCACCGAAACATGTTTTTTCCAAATGCTAGCAAATGTAAGCTCTTGCTTTCATGCGTGTGATACTGGCACAGGTGCGCGCTGGAGCAGACCAAGCAGTATCCATAGCTCCCTCATAGTACGTTTTGCATCCCTTTGCTTTCAATCTGAACATTGTCAGAAGCTTTCTTGCGTTTAAGACTCCAAGGCCTTCGCCCAGAGACAGCGTGTTTTCGTGTCCAGCTAAGGTATGGCCCATCGGAGCAGCAAGTTGGAAAGGTGACGCCCCCGGAAAAGGACGAAGGCAGGAATGAACCACCCCGGGTTTCCCAAAGCCAGCCCTGGAAAAATTGTACGGGGGGGCATGCCTGAGGAAAGGGTGGCTGGGAGGATCGCGTAACTCGCCTTGTGATTTTCAAAGCTTCGAGGTGCTGTGGGGGTTCGCAGCTGGCAAATTTTGAGCTGCGCATTGCTTCAGGCGGTCAATTTATTTAAGCGGCTTTGCGCATTTAGCACCAAAACGCGTCACGAAAATGTACTTGCCCAATAGGCTTCTAACTGCTATCAGATGGGACATCTTGGAACCTTAGGATAGTGGTGAGATCGTGCATGTACGCAGTGCTGGCATGTAATGTGGGGCATTGGCTGGTGATTGTATAGGTGGCGATCCGACCCTCAGCCACAAGCGTGTTTTTGTTGGATGTGCATTGGCAGGCCTTGTGATGGAGGGCACAACCTTGCGTGCCTCACTTTCTAGTCTGGAACAGTCCTTGGCTTCGCGGTCGAAGCAGCCACCTGCCCGTGTCAATCCAATTTTTTGCGTGTTGCAGTTTCTTTTGTTTTCGCTTGGCCATGCTTTGAAGACTCAAAGCGCCTGGCAAGGATTGTTCACCTCACCGAACAGCTGCTTGGACTTTGAGCATTGCCTTGAGCTACGGTCTGCGTTCCGTGTGTGACGTCTACTTGCCCCCAGCCCACCCAAAACTGCGCAAGTTGCTTCTGAGCACCCTGGATGACGAACCTGAGGCTGAAGGCATGTGAAAAAACCCGGGAAGAGAGACAACTCCAGGCTGAAGAGGCCAAATCGAAGCTTGGCTCTTTTTCTTCGGAGTCCAGGATGTTTGAGTGTTGGTTTGTTGGTTTGTTGGTTTGATTTGGCCTTTTTGGATTTCTTGTGTTGAAGCAAATTAGGGTTATCTCCTGTAGTGACTTGATTCTTTCGCCCAAGCAAGTGGGGCTCTTGTAGCTTCATGCCGCCCTTAGAAGTACTAGTAGGCGCGTGTTGTTTGGTGCCACCATCTTTGCTCTGGACTCTGTGCCCGGAACTGTACGTGGGAACTGACGCTTTGCCGCTTTGCCGCCTTGCCGCTTTGCCGCTTTGCCGTCGGTTGCACGTCACATGGGCTTACGCCACAAGTCCTCTGCCCCAGTGACAGCACACCATGGCCTCAAGGAAATGCTCTCAGCTCTCCGGCGACTCAAGCCAGCTGTTGAAGATTTGTCAATCTTATTTGGAGAAGAGGCCCGGCATCGCCTGGATGGGACCCCAAAGCCCAGATTACAAGAAGCACATATAAGCATGAGCGTGAGCAAGGTACTGGGAAGTGTGAGAGTGTGGAAGAAGCCTCCATGTGCTGAGGGTTCCGGGCTTCGGATGTCGGGAGAGCCCGGGTTAACATGAACTGCTCCCTGAAGGCGCGACAGAGTGGAGCGCATGAGCAAGGACTGGGCAAGGGATGACACGGGGTCCGCTGCAGCAAAGTGAAGGGCATCTCCCCTTATCCACCGGAATGAAGTGGGGCAGCTTTGCGAAGTTTACCATTGCTAGAAATGTTTCTGTGCAAGGACACAGCTTTCCAGAAGCAGCAAGCGACACCTGGCCCTGGCAATCGCGAGAGAGTTGACATGCAGAGGTTTTTGGAATTCAGCGCCCAAACCCTGGTGGTCCCAACGGCCTGGTGACTCCAGTGGTCTATTGCCCTTTTGACATGCATGAGTGGCCAAGGAAATATTATAAGTCCTTGGCGCACCAGCAACGGGCCTTCTACCTCCAGTCGGAGCGGATTGCGGCTCTTTGGTCGGAAGGTTGCAAGCTTGTAGATTTGTGGACTCCTGAAGCTTCGGCCTTGTCGTTGATTAGCCGCATCCTAAAGTCCAACTCCCAGTTCCGTCCCGAGCTGCTTGAGTTTCCTGTGCTTTCCTGCACGCAAAACCCCTTACGAATACTTCAAACCCATCGCTGAACCTTTGACCCTGGCGGTGGTGAGGCCTGTGGTGGCAAAGATTCCATCGCACGACATCGAGCAGGCGAGTTGGCGCTGGTTTCTCAGCCGCCCACCTTGGAGGACACACGATGTCACATGAAGCGTCTCCTTGTACTCCAGTACGAGGATGCCTCGTGAGACTCGGACCCGCTGGCACGCAAGCAGTATGCGGAAGCACTGGGGTGCGGCGTTGCGTCCGCAGTTAGCTGGGTGCAGGATACCATGCAGAACAAGAATCTTCAGCCTCCGGGAACTAGGGTAACTAGGGCGTCCCGGATCCCTGAATCTGAAACTTTTTTTTTTGCATGGTGTCCGACTGAGCGGTCCCCGACTCTAAAGAAAAGCCCAGTCAAGCATTCCGACCAAAACCTTCTTTGCATTGCTGGCCAGGACGACAACACCCAGGAGCTCTTTGATGTCGGTACAGCAGTCGCCAACCCCTATGTGAGCCTTGCCTGGCCTAGAACTTGTAAGTGCTCGAGCTGGCGAGGGGAGAGCGCGAGAGGGAGTGAGAGCTCACTTCGGTGCGGCCCTTTCGCAGAGAGACGAAGAGAGAGGGGCGGGGAGAGAGAGGGAGAGAGGGAGAGAGAGACAGGGCCAGTGCGCGGGGATGGGGGAGACCCTTCCTCAGGCCCCGTAGAAGAAGAAGAAGAAGAAGAAGAAGAAGAAGAAGAAGAAGAAGAAGAAGAAGAAGAAGAAGAAGAAGAAGAAGAAGAAGAAGAAGAAGAAGAAGAAGAAGAAGAAGAAGACGAAGAAGAAGACAGGGACAGGATAGTTCGACGGTGTTGAGTCAATGAACTCGGGTGGGAGGACAACATCAATGTTTTACCCTAGTCCCATCGAATCTGGAATGTCCATTCCCCACCAAGCACCCATCTCACGCCGGTTGACTTGGTAGAGCGTACCCCTCGGGGGTCATATGCACAGCAAGCAAGCAAGCAAGAGACACAGGGAGAGCGAGAGAGAGAGAGGAACCCTCGACCTCATGCCTCCAAGAAAGCAAGAAAGAGAGAGAAGTGCTTAGATCAATTGTTTTCAGCTTCATGCGCATCTTAGGTGTGATTCTTGGCCATTTGAGCCAAATGTTCTCGCAAAGCGGACACCGCAGGAGTCTTCAATGCCAGCGCGGCTTGGCGAAAAGATTGCTCGGCTGAGAGCTGGCGACGGCTGTGGTAAGGCTCAGGTGGTTCGGTGGTTCTGATGTACAATCGGCTTTACAATAAGGGTTGACAAAACCTCAATGCCTGCAACACTCAGGTTTGAAGAGGAGACCGAGGAAGATCTCAGAGAGGCTCCTTTCCGGCCTGCGCAGCCCCGGAACAAACAACTCTTCCCTCAATGGCGGGCTGGGGCGGCTTAACTGTGAGCCGCAACCTCAAGAGAAAAGGATGCGATGCCCTGCAACCCAAACCATTTGCTACTACCCCCCAAACTACTTGAAATCACCCAAGCCCATGTGCCATACACATGGTTGGCAAAAGAAGTGTCAATCCTTGGTGTACCAGGCGGAAAGGGGCTTCCGGACGAATCCTTTCCGTGCCGGAGCGCGTGGTTTCAACCGTGGCTTTGATGACGACGATGCTGCTGGGGCTGCGACCTGTGGGCAGGGATGCGCAGGGATTCAAGTGTGATTCTGGAAATTTTCGGCTGGGTGTCCGAGAGGGTGAGGCAATGAGGGGCGGAGCTCGGGGTGTCGAAAGTCTGGGACTTAGGGGCTAGTTTGAAATGGAAGCTTCAAGGCTTCGTGGCCAGGGTGAGCAGTGCCCAGATGTAGAGACTTGGAAGTCGTGGAAGTTGAGCGGAGATTCTGGGAGCGCTCGTTCCCTTTGAATTCTTTTCCTCATGCCTGTACTTGCCATTACCCTTCGCCGCGTGGTTGAGGACTTCGATCGTCGGCCTAGCAGTGCAAGAAGCTTGTGAGAGGGCTACCGTGCTCAAAGGTAGGCTTTGGATATCCTGGATCCGTGGTTTGGTAGACGTAATTAGGCATGTAGACATGGGACGCGAACAGCTGGCAGGAGCTTTCCTGTGTGCGGCACGGACCGTTTGGGTTAGGCATAACTGCCGATCACGAAGGAGCACGGGGTGCGTAGTTGGGAACTGAAGCCCCCCCCACCCCCCCACCACCCCATGTGCTACCAAAAAAGGGCGCCATGTTCAGACAAACATTTCAGAGCCCCAGGCTTTCAACCCTTTGAACCTGAAGGCTTCAACTGAATTCGGTTCAATGACTTAGCGCGACAGGACCGGTCGATGGCAATGGCAAAAATCGTGCGTTCTTGCTACCGGCGAGTGGGGCATTGCTTCAGGATCTAGTTTGTTAGCGCGGGATTCGGGAAAGCCCTGGCTTTCGCAAAAAACACGGTGGTGAGCGGAGGGGACGTTCTCTGGGGCACTGCACTCTAAAGGTTCAAAGATCAAAGAGCTTAAGTTCCGAACGCAGGGCACTTCAAGGAGTTGCATCATAATGGGTCATAATGGGGGGGGGGGAAGTTTGAGTAACATTGCACTTCACGCAATGGCACGTCCGATTTGTTTAAGCTGCTGTAATTCTCTCTCTCTATATATATGTGTACATTTGCTTTACTTCACGTTTATCTTCTCATTATGCATCACGTTGTGTGAGTGGGCGGCGCATGCCGCCGAACCTGGAACCGCAAACGAGCTGTTTCCTTCCCTTGCGCTTGCCCTTCGCCTCTCTTCGCCAGAGCTTAGCAACACCTCCAGACTCCGGAGCCGAGCCATGGGGGCCAGTCCGAGCTGCCCTAGCTGCGAAGCCAGTCCAAGCTGCTGTGAAGGTGATTCCCAGATCCCTAACACCCGAAGTAAGGGCCATTGTACCTCAGTAGCAGACAGACTGGAACTACCCGTACGACCGACAAGCTCTAAACCCTCTGTTGGAGGAGGCGGAGCCACTGTGGCAGTCCCTGTGGCGTCCGAGGCAAATCTGACTTGGGAGGACTGGCCAATTTTTGTCAGACTGGTTCGGCATCCTAGCTCACGGCAATGTGCCCGTGTGGGTCAATGATGTACTGGGCCAGGCTCGAAGATGTTCGTCGTCACTTGTGAAGTGTGCATACACACAGAAGCTTCAGACAATCTCTGTTCAGAAAGGTCCAAGGTAAGGTGATCAGATCAGAGAAGAATTGGGCCCCCGGCTGCTCTTGAAGCCGAAGCCTACACTCCGAAGCCTAAGTCCTGCAGCATAAAACAGCTCCAAAAGCGAGGAGAAAGAACCCACGCCTCCTACCGCTTGTTCCTTCAGGGTCGTTTGTCCGTGGTGTCGGGGGGCTTGAGGTTTGGGAAAAGTTGGGCAAAGCTGCAGAGGATGCTCCGCCGGTGGCGCCGTGGGAAGACCATGCTGACATGAACAGTGAGACCTCCGCTGCTGCTTTCGACATGTCCACCTGTGAACTCCAGGTGAGCCACTGGTTGAAAGGGTTTGAATTTAACCTGAACCTGGGTATGTCGAAGTCCGAAATCCCCACCTTATGCCAGTTTCAGTCCGTTTTTTTCGCAGAACGAGGGAACGCAGCCCTGTGAGGTAGACTCTGTTGTCCTGTGCGGCCTGTCCCTGCGCCAGTCCCTGCGCACATTTGGCATGCTGTGGTGCCGGGTCCCGATTGGCAAGTTTTCTTTGGGCATGCGGTGTTTGTTCAGAACAAAGTCCGCGTGAAGTTCCCCGTGCATGTGTGGGTTCCTAGCTCTTGGAACAATTGCTAGCAAAAGGCAGACTTTGCCTGCGGCACATCCATCGACATGCATCCCATAGCTGGATGTTTATCCCCGAAGAAGTGAGGATGGTCCCTCCCGAGACACGCTATCCTTTCCGCGCGCGTGCTGCACCAGTCTCCAAGTTCGACATCTTCGTCTCCCACACCTGGAAGCTCGGTTGCAGTGGTTACAGCTTTCGTGTTGCGCATGAATCTTCGTCTACGAGTCTGCCACATTCTTTCCTTCTTGAGTCTGCCTCTGTCTGCCTCGTTTCATGATGAACAGCATCACTGTCAAGACATGATCGTGATCAAGTTTGGACTCCGAGTCCCTGCTTCCGCAATGCGAGTGTGAGCCTTCTGAACCTGCTGGACCTTGGCGTGTTGAGTCGAGAGCCCAAGGAACACGCCTGGAAGGTGGAAGGTTCTATCTCTCATGAGCTTCTCCTGCAATTGTGGGTAGGCAGTTTGGGCCTGGACTGCTTTATGACTTTCGTGCTTGTAATGCAAACATTGGCACAACTTATACGAGTTACGACGTCGGACCTCCAACACCCCGAACATGAAGGCCTCATGCACGAAAGCCCCATTGGGTCGAGCAACTTTCGTCTAATTTTTGCCCCTGTGCTCTTTCTCCTCTTTTTTTCCTGGTTGGGGAGGGTGGTTGGCTTGGACACCCTGAGCCATACACTCCCCCAAAGAAACACCCTAAGCTCTGAACCTGAAGCGCAAAGTCAAAAAGTCTAGGTACCAGACTGGCTGGCAGATCTCCCTGGTGCTCCAAACGATGGTAGCCTCCACTCTCTTCGTTCTGGGCGTCTGCGGGGTTCTGCCTCTCCCATCCACCACCACCTTTGCCGGCATCCCACCTGAGCAGCACCTCGCCTTCACTTAGCATTTCTCTGTTAATTTGCCAATGGGTTGGTGAGTTTAACATGGATGTTCAGAGTTGTTGGTTCATGCTGTCAGGAGGGCTTCTGAAATGGCCTGAACACCAGTCAAGGTACGCGGCCTCACCGTGGCTCCGAGAAAATTTCTTGGGCTTCGAGAGAGCAAAGGTAACGTTCATGGCTGATTTTAATTGTACTGGGCGCGCAAGACTGGTGTTGAGCCTGCCCTTAGAGGGTGTTACTCCCCATCGAGGCATGACATGGGCAAGAATGGGAAGGCAATTGAATGCATCTGTCCACTTCCTGTAGGGCATTGGTTGTCGGGGCATTTGTATACAGTGGGGCGTCCGATGGAGTTAAGATTTCTCGACCCAGGTGGATACGCACTACCAGCCTTCCAGCTGCCATCATCGGCCTCTGTGTGGCGCCCTACATAGGTGACCTGTTCAACAAGCAGGTGCACTCGAAACATCTGACTTGGGAGCATGGCGTCATGTCATGGGACAGTAGGATTGCTGCAGTTGATGGGACCTGTGATGTGCAGGTAGCATTTATTGACATGGCCAGTATCGACCAGACCGATGCAGAGCAGAAGAAGCAAGGCATCTACAGCATTGCCGAATTCCTGAGGATGTCCGGCGAGCTGCAGGTTCTTTGGTCGGCGGACTACCTCTCTAGGTTGTCGCGGTCTTAGAGACGTATGGCAAGAAGTTGCATGGGATGTTTCATGCATGACACGCAGCATACCGCGCCGAAATGTGACACCCTCACTTTGCGGGGCTGCCAAAAGGGATTCAGGGCATACGATAAGCAAGAGGACTGGATTAAAGCAGGGATCGTGAATCGGGGCAGAGGCGTAGACAAAGCAATCCGGCCACCAGCTCCGCGTGGGGCTTTGTAGCCAATGTCCATGGTTTTCATGAATCCGAGGGATTTAACGTGTGTGCCACGCACATGTCAAGCGCCACCGCGGTGACCGCGTCCAGGGCCCGGACGTCTAAGGGAATAGTGAGAACACTTCGCGTACGTCTAGAACCCCGACACTCCCAACAACCGAAACCCTATACATCTCATACTAAAGCTCGAAGCTTCGGGTGCACCAGTCCTGTGTCATCCCAAACCAATCCCCCCGAAATTTGCTGAGGTGGTGCATTTTTGAGTTGGCGGCGTACCGCACAGCAAACCCGTCGGGCAAGATCAGCCTGTCGCCTCTCTTCGTGGAAAGGGGCTTTGCGGTGCTTATGTTGGCAGTCTATGGCTTCACCTCAGTTTTCGTGCTTGCAGAGGCCAAGGTTCTGACGTCGGGATCTGAAGCTTGGGTCTTCGGCTTCGCTCTGGTCCCAGTGTCGCTCTCTGTGCATGCACTGCGCAAGAGCTTCCTTGCGAAGCACCGGCTACTTACAGCCCTGGCAAGCTTTCAGTTGGGAAAATCCACGTGCAGTTCTGAATTTGATACGCGCTTCATCCTCCGCTGCATTGGCAGATGGTATGGTGGAGAGGAGCAGTTCGAGAACTTCGTGCGAGGGCGACTGCGGCAGGAGCTCATCACCCAAATTACCAACACTCGCTTCCGGCCTGGGCACCTGGGTCAGAACACCAAATAGGGCAGAAACCTCCCCGCCTTCTGCTCCCAAATCGCCAGGTCTTAACGAACTCACCACGGGGCTGCTGAAAAAACCGGAGCCCGAAATGCTAAAACAAACTTGTGTTTCGAGGTACTTCCTCGTCGCCATTGTGCCTTCCGTCTGCGCGGGGTTGGACAGCCTCGTCTCACTGTGGCAACCAGCTCGCAAATACATGCACGCACTTGAGGAAAACATGTGTATGCACCTGGTTGGTTCCATCGAGGAATCTAGTCTGTGGGGCTTAACGGCCAGTATCATGTCACTCAGTTTTGTTTGCCTGCCCAGGAGAGGGGAAGCTCCTACAGCAGCTCTGGTGACGCACTTCCTGTGTTTGGTGCTGGCATTCGACGTGTGCTGGGTCCTGATCACCTTCAGGCCGCAGAGATGAACTTGTTACTCCTATCCACGTCTAGGTCAATTGTTATCCCCAAGTTTTAAGGTCACAAAGTCGAAGTCCTAAACCCTGGTCCTCTCGGACGCCTATGCAGAGCCGTGTGCGGGCCGCGCCATCGACTATGCCGTGTCATTTCTCATATTTGCAGCAAGTGGCGTCGTCTTCATGGCTGGTCTGCTGGGATCAAGACTTGCGCGGAATACTTTGAGCTTCTTGACACCTGTTAAGGCATGAGGGCACCACCTTCACTCCAGGTGATGAAATAGCTACTCTAAAGCACCCAGCCCAGACGGGTAATTTGGAGGGCCGGACTTCCCAACATCCCAGGTGTATCCGTGGCGCTCGCGTGGCTAGCTGCTTCCTGCATCCTCATGAGTCTCACCTCTCAACGTGTTTGTCAAGTCCTGGCCGGACTCTTTCGAAAAAGGTCTCGCCCAGGCAGTTAACGATGAACTTTACATTTAGTCTTTTTGAGGCGGCTCTGCGATTACTTATTCCTGTTCCATGCAACCAGTAATGCGTCTCAAAGCAACGACAAGACACAAGACACGTACGCACGCATATACATACATGTATATAGATATATGTATATGTATATATAGAACGAATTGCTTAGACTTCTGTGTCTACTCCTGCGAATTTCCGTTCGAGTCGAAGGATGCCTCTTTGAGGGTGTTGGGAAACACCACCCCTCCGCGGTGAGCAGGGGAGGGAGAAAAGTGCCCACTTGTCCTTGAGGCTTTATTTCTAGCACTTCAGCATCTTTAGGGTAGGGCCTTGGTACCCCGATTCCGAGTCCTCTTTGGGGTGGTTTGTCATTATAATGATTTTTGGTATAGATTGTGGAGCTGTGTCGGCGCGCCGTGGGGGACACTGAGTCCGCAGGAGGGAGGGAGAGAGCGAGAGAGAGAGAGAGGATCTGTGTCGCACCGAACTTTCCGGGCGCCTAGCGCCCCGTAGAAGAAGAAGAAGAAGAAGAAGAAGAAGAAGAAGAAGAAGAAGAAGAAGAAGAAGAAGAAGAAGAAGAAGAAGAAGAAGAAGAAGAAGAAGAAGAAGATGAAGAAGAAGAAGAGAGCATGTACAAGGCCATTTAGAGAACATCCCCACCCACCCACCCGCCTCCCCCACAGTCTAGTCGGAGGTTTTTCAGATGTCGAGCTGGAAGGCCACATATCTGCAATTCTTGCCTGTCCACATCCTCGTATGTCCTGATCTGTCCTTAGTTGACCCTTAGACGTTGGCCCCTGAGCATTCTTCTACTCAAGTTGGGCAGACCGGGCAATCGGAGCCCACGATCCGAAGTTCGGGGCTCCAAGATGCCCTAAGTTCACCAAGGACCACCCAAGCCACACTTGCATTGCCTTGGATCGCACAGCTTCTTAGGAGTCTTAGGATTCTCGGCTGGTTTCAAAAATCTGTGCCTTCTTAGCCTGGCCTTCCCAGCCTACGGAGGGGTGGTTGCAAAACGAGATGGTGCGGACACCGAACTGAAGAAAGCTCCAAGGTGATTTAGGTCGCAGATTTTTGGGGTAAGGGCTAGAAGGGTTTTCGCTTTGAAGGGGGGGGGGGGGGTGCGTGGGTTGTCATGATTGGGTGGATGTTGGCCTGCTGCCGGCACTGCACCGCCATGGGTGCTGCTGCCATCACGTGCCCGCCAGCATCTCAGAGACGCTGGAGGAACAGCCCCTTCAAGCCTAAACCATGAGACTGAAAGGTGCATGTCGGGGTGGGTTGACTTGTTTGATGCGTGGTCTCTATGGAATGGTGTTTTGTAGGTATGGTCTGAGCAAAACGGTTCTTGCAGTCACGTTTTCCTGCAAGTTTGGCCCATTGAACACGTGTGTCAGACCCTGCGGTTCGACTCAGTCAGGCAACAAAGAATCGCCAGGATTGTTAGGTTGGACATGGAGCAGTTGCGAAGCGGTGGATTGGGCTGGGGAGTGTGAGTGGTTGCTTGACCTTTTTCGGGTTCTTCCTTCATCTTGCGTGCGCCGGCATCTTGATACGGGACAACGCACAAAGCAAAATGCCCAACGCCTTGTACTCCTGTGGTCATTCGATTTGGAAACTCCCTCCCGGGTCCCTCCCTCTTCGTCCAGCCTCTGAATCCAGTCCGGAGCACAGGCCGGAGCACTGCAAGCATGCGCAGGGCCAACTCGTGCCGTGGCCCTTGGCATTCCGGAACTTAGAATTCGGGGCAAAGCTTCGCGGTGTTCTCCGTCTTTTCCAGTTCTGTGAATTCGGGGGAGGCCTTTTGAAAACTGAGTGGCTTTGTCTCAAGGGAGACACCTTCAGAATTCCGGACGCAGTCTCCCCCCAACTCTTGTAAGCCCGGGAATCCGCCAGTGTCTGAACCACCAGCAAAAGGGCTCAAAACCAGTGTTTCCTTCCCAAGGCCCGCGCAGGACGAGGCAACTTCCTTCATGGACCTGTCCGAAATTAAGGTGCCGGGCCGGTTCGTTCAGCACAACGCTCGGTGTGTGTGGCAGGGCGGGAGTGTCGCAGCCCGAAGTGCCGAACCCCCAATAGCCAATAGTGGTGCGCAACATGCATCTAAACATGCCAAAACGGAGCCTCTTATACTACCATACTTGCAAACTTTGTATTACTTTGTTGCTTCGACTCTGATTCCCAACTTCACGTTGCAGAGTGGACCCTTTGGTTTCACTGGACCAGTGTGCTTCTATGGCCTGCCGTACTGCCAGAAACCCTACCCTAAACCCTCGTGAGTGCTGGGCGGCAAAACAAACCCAGGCCAACCTCACGAAACCTAAGAGCCTTCCAGCTGAACTCCCCCAGATCAACAGCCGAAACAGCTCTGAGCCCTGTGTCCGCGCAGCATTTTTCTGCCCAACCCCCGAAATCCGCTGTTGATTTCGGTCCGCTGCAAGAGGCCATGGAGCCTCGACTGTCAAGTTTGGGATGTTCAGGGTAGAGTTTTTTGTTTTTTTTGTTGGGGCTTTTGAGGTTTGTGCAGGCCGGTGGGATTCCTGGGCTTTCCTGGGTTTACTGTTTTTTGGGTTTTGGTTTCGCCGTCATGGATGGGCTTCCTCCAAAAAATCCAGGAACCTGAACAGTCTTGCTTCGAAAGCGTTGAAAGCCGCCCGCCTCCGAAGAGTCGGAAGAATTGTGGAGGGAGAGCCACAGCAAAGGCACAGCCGCTTCCCATGGCCTCTGGCGTCCCCTACACAGCAAAGTCGGCGGCCTATCCCGCGCCGAGACCTGTGGCTGCTCCGCAGGCGTGGTTTCGAGTGCTGAGGGGTTGCGAGATGTCAGTTTGTTTCACTTCCTTTTGACCAGCTTTAAGCAATGAACATCAGGAATTGAGTGTACCTATCGACTTTCGTTTGGTTGTTACTTTTGTTGTGAATTGACAATGCCTGAAGATTTTTGCAAGTAGCCGAAGGGGTGCTCACTGGAGGTAAACTTTGCGTCCAACTAGCGGCCCACCTCTCGGAAGGTGTACTATCGTCCTGGCCCCGCCTCTGTGACAGCTGCACCGACGACTGTCACATATGCCGCCCCCCCTGGAATGCCGATGATGGGGCAGCCGGGTGCGCGTCCAATGGTGACGATGGCGCCTCCAACTCCAGTGGGCGGCTCAGAGGGGGATGGGGAAGGCAGACCTCAGGCTTCAGCATCCCAGTCGATTCAGCTCTTCTCAACGGGTCAAGACGCACCCCTAAGCTGTGTGCCCTCCAGGTGCCCGCAGGCTCTACACCCCTCACCGTCTCTACCCGCCACCTGGGAACAGTGCCTGACTTGGTCGAGCATTGTTGCTCTTGCAAGCGAAAGCCTAGAATGAAGAACAGACCCAGAGCCTTGCCTGCCGTGCGCGAGTGTGACTGTCGAAATAAGAAAACAGACTTCGCTTCAGAGCAGAATTCTTCAGAGCAGAATGCTTCAATGCATGGTGGCAAGGTCGGCGTGCCCCAGGTGGCCACGGCCCTGCCTCCAGGGGTTCGGGTGGTGCGCACCTCTCAGCCGGCAGTGGTGCCAGCGGGTGCACCAGTCAACCCTGCGTCAGCCTCCAGGCAAGGCATTGGCCAGACGCGATCTGTAAGGCTTGACTTAATATTGTGCTTTGAGGACCTTTGAAAAGGAGAGTGGAGCAAGTCGGCAAGAGTGAAGACATCCACTGTGTAGTGTGGGCCCACCGGGCCCCTAGGTGTGCAGGTGGTCTGTTGCTGTTTGTTTTTAGAGTTTTTGGGGCGGGCCTCTCAAATCGACCTCTCAGCGATTTGTTGGCTGTCCGACGCAGTCTTTAAGCGCCGCATGAGCCGCCGAGAGGCCGAACACAGTGGGTGGGCCAGCCTACTCTCAGAGTGCCTATGCATCTTGGCAGCTTTTGGTTCATGAGCTGAGCAGGACTCCTAACCCTACGACGAACCCTAGAACTGACCCTGAACCATCCTACACGGAAGCTCCACGCCTTTGGGAGCACAAGCTTTTCCTAGCCGAGAAGGGCCAGCTGCGGGTCTTCTCGGGTGCTTTCTCGCCGTGCTGTCTTGCCCAGCCAGGAGACCAAGCACGAGAAAGATGCGCAGCTCCAGAACTTGATCCCCGACTCAAGGGACCAGCTGAGGGTGACGGCTTGGGGGTTTCTCCTCTCCTGCACCTCCCCCCACCCCCCACAGTCACTGAAGCTACAGCTCCACATCCAAGGAAGGAGCTCAGGAAAACGTGCGGGCTCAAGGAGATTCCGGTCCACGATGGATTGCAGGCCAGAGGTTCTGAGGGTCTGAACCTGTGAATCTGCTAAGTCTCATTCTTCGTAACCTTAAAAACTCCAAAAGTTGTTTTGACGTGAGCCGAAGCCTGCGAATGCTTCACCTCAAGCCTGAGCCGTCCAGCTTTCAAGTTGGGCGATGTTGAGTGGTTCTTTCGGGGCCGAGGATCCTTGAAGCTTAAACACCCAGAAATGCCTTTTTTCTGGAGGTGCAAACGAAACCCCAAAAGGGGCTTGGAAGCCTCGCCACGACCGCAACTGGGGGCCAGGCCTTTAAGAGCGCAGCCACGACGCAGGACAAGGAACAAGAGTGCCTCGGCCGAGCGGTGGGTTGTGGAAACGCTCTGAATCCACATTCTGGGCTTTAGATAAGGGTCTAGGACGGTCTAGGGTTTAGAAACAAAGGCTTCGGGATGTACATCCTATGCCGTCCTAGAGCATGCTCCAAAACTAGAATGCAAAAAAGATGTGCGGCGAAGTTCTGCCAGGGAGATCCAGCCCAGCTAAGGTTTCCATAGCTTGAGACTTGGGGGTCTTTTTGCAGCCCGTAGTTCCGGGCTGAAACACTCCTCAGACTCACCCCCCCACTGCTACCGTGACACAATACTTGCAATTTCCGGCAAGCCCTTTTACCCTTTCTTCCAACATCCAAGCCTAAGGCAGACGACAAAGCTGACTCGTGATAAGTTCCTTGGGGCCTATGCGCAGCTGTTGACTGACCACAAGGCCTTCGTGGGATCCGCTGTTACCGGCTTCAAGTTCCAAAACAGGGACTGCCAAACATGTCTGTTTTTACTATCGTTGCCATGAAGGCCGCGGCTGAGTGCACCAGCTGCCTGACAGGAGCATGAAGAATCTCTTGCGTGTGCGATTCCCTCCTAGTCTGTGCTTGTGTCCGAGCTCCTTTCTGCACAATGAGCACTGCTTGCAATTCCACTCGCACCCTTCTAGATCCCAAATCTCCAACATCTATCACGAGGCGGTAGTTTAAGGTATATGCACAAGAGTTCAGGGTACATGTGGGCTGTGTCAGGTCGATGTGCCCAAGGATGAGGTGAAGCACGCGGTCTTCGACCTCTTCGACCGCGACGACAACAACATCGTAGCCGCTCGGTCTGACTCCCTGAAAATTAGCCGACAACCTCCAATGACTCCAGCTGATGCGTATCTGTCGGTCAGCAAGGACAGTGTCAAACATACTTTACAGTGAATACTCCGTGGTTGTGCGTGTGTGGCCTGAAAGAGAACCCTGACTGGGCATGTGTGGGTGCAAGTTGCTTAGCTTCAAACGTTCCCATATAATAGGGAAATTTGATTTTTGACACAAGGGGTCCGGACATGTCAAGCGTTGTTTGCTTCGCGTTCGCGTCTTGTCGTGTTGCGTTGCTTGCACGCAAGACAGACCTCATAGCCCGGCTGGGTTTCTTGCTGGAAGCAATAGTTGCAACGTGACCTGGCCGGGTTATGATTCTGAAACTCGGACTGTATGGGTGTTTGATGTCTTAGGAGTTACTTCCGACGTAAATCCTGCGGAGGCGCTTTCTCCGCTTGTGCTCGGTGTATGCCCCATGCAGCAGTGCGACCTTGTCTCCCAGCAGGCCATCATGCCCCAATACTCTGAACCCCACTTTGGCTCAAGGGGCTAGGCAGCGCCAGGCTGCGAAACAGCCATGAAGGTGCTTGTCAACTGCCAAGACTTGAAGTTTGAGGTGCAATGTGGTGCTGGCAAGCAGCACATGCGTTGGCTGGCATTGGTCGCTGCCACACGCGTGCAGAGGGAGAAATATCCGCACGCCTTTAGGGTGCCTCAAAGAGTCCTGAACTCCGAGGGCATGACGCTCAAGCCTCGCCAAGTGATCTGCGCCACCTTGGAGGATTCTGAGGAGGTCTTCATCGAACTCAGGCAAGGCGCCGCTATTGCTGAGGAAGATGTCGACGCACTCGAGTGGTCAGAAGAAGCATATGGCCCTCAAGCCAATCTGATGGAGTGCAAGTTCAGGTGGAAGGTTGGTGGCCAGCAAGATTTTCCAAAGTATGTACGTGGCGAGTACGTCGTCGCACCTCGTTGGCAGGGAGTGTATCCCCAGAAGGACTACGGTGGCCCCTTCGAGATACAGATCATCCCCGTGGACATCACACCCGATGAGGTCGACTGGATTGCTTCCAAGAAGGCGCCCCCCGGCAGTTGCACTTACAGGTTTGTCATGAAGAACGACTATGAGTCCATTTGCAAGGCTGACCCGGAAACTTTGACTTCGGATGGCCTTGCGCACTACATCGAGTTCCATTGGGATGTGCCCATTGCTCCCGAGCCCTATCCGGAAATCGACAGCCGGCCTTCCACGGCGTCTTCCAGAGATGGAGCGCAAGTCGATCCCAGGTTTGAGCAGGACTGGGAGGCCTTGCGACTCAAGTGGGTGGAGTCGTTCATGAAGGTGCGTGTGAAGGATGTGCTGACGGAGTTCTACGCCATTCTGATCGACTTGTTCGACTCCTACGCGTTCATGGGCTTGGACCTTTCGGCAAGCCAGCACACAATCGGCATGGATGACTGGAAGCACTTGGTCATCAACTGTGGCTTGCTGGAGGGTCAAGCAGAAGGCTCACTAAGCTGGTCACAGGTCTGCGCATGGTTTGAGGAAGCAGCAGGTATCCGGGATGGAAGGCCGTACTTGGCTCAGAGGCTGACCCGCGCCCATTTTCTGGAGCTGTTGATGCGGACCGCCTCCTGGACCATGTGTGAGCATCCTCGGGAGAAGTACGCTCCGGAGAAGGGGAGGCCACCCATGCCCTTGGACGAGGGCCTCTTCCGTTTCATCACGGACATACTGATCCCAGTTATGGACATCTACGATGACGACCCGATTCGAAAAGATGCAGTTCAGCATGAGAATCTAGTGGTGATTCAGGAGAACCGACGGTCCATCCGGTCGATCTATGCTTTTTTGGCGCAGCCATGGCCACACTACCAAGGAGAGCGTGTTTTGGTTCCGGCCACTCTCAAGTATGTCTTGGAGTTTGCTCACGAGAAGCTGTCAGAAGCAGGTGGTGAGGGCGTCCCCCCACCACCGGCAGAGGGTGAGGCTGCCGAAGCCCCGGGTGCTGTGAAGGCTGTCAGCATTGACCTGGCCGCCGTCTTCGGTGGAGAGGAGAGCCTCGACCTTGAGCAGCTTCAGGTCATTCTGGAGAGCTTTGATTCTCATGTCAGCAAGATCACAGCTAATCACCCAGAAGACTTTGACGAGCGGGCACTTCTTTTTTGGGAGTTCTTTGAGGTGGTCATGGATTCCTGCCGTGGTTTGGTGGCCGGGCTGGGCACACCTCTGGATAAGGCCATTCCCGCATACGTGCAGACAGTGCTAGCCTTCATGGGACTGGTCGATAGAGAGGAAGCAGCCTTGCCTCCACCACCAGTCCATGGCATGGAGGTGGCAGATGATGAAGCTTTAGCCGACATAGAAGACGAGTGATGTGCATATGATGGCCGTGCCATTGCACCAGGTTTCACGTGCGTGTGCTGAAATCAAGCACTTGCAATTGCCTCCTGGCATTGTTTGCATGATTCTCTTGACTGCGCTTCAGAATATCTTCTCACCCTGAACTCGTACCAAAAGCCTCGCCCGCCCGTGCTAGTGTGAGAGTCGAAGCCCTGCACCCTCATCCCCCGTGCCCCCTTGGCGGAGCAGTTCGTCCAGCTCTGCGCGTGGTAAGTCGCCTCAGCCGAGGACATGATGGAGTTGGTCTGCGGCATCTCGCTGCTTTGCAAAGGCTCCGAGGTGCGGTGAGTGTTACGCGGGAAAAACAATGCCAGACTCTGCATCTCGATAGAGTCCCGCGCAGAGGAGGTGGTGGCTTCGGAAATGCACCCTTCAGACTCTTTTGACAGGACGACAAGATCCAGGCGGTGTTCAAAGTTTTCGACGAGAATGACGATGGCCACTGGGAAAGAAGTCGTGATAAGTTGCTCAAGCTACTCTTAAGACTGCGGCAGGGTTGCCAAAAATGTCTCCTCCGCAGCTCACCGCGATTCCGAAAGGCTTCATCTCAATGGACGAGATGTACAAGTTCTTGACCTCGGTGTTTAAGGTGGTCCTCACTCCTGCTCCTCGCAGACGGAAAGGTTGGGAGGAAAGGTCGTTTTGGGTTTCTGCGTGGCTTGGGGGACTGCTTGGGCCGACCTGGCTCCCATAAGTCGGCTCGCACGTCACGCCTGCTTCTGGGCGGCTTGAGGGGGAGAGCTCGTCACCTGTGGTGCTGAGGCCGTGATTGGCGCCATGAACAGCATGGGTGTGAGCGTGGAGTCGGCAGAGGCCGGGTCCTGGTGGTTGTCCCATGTTGTTCTCGGAGCTTGAATCTGGATCCGCGCTTTGTGGGTTGGAGCTGGGTTCGGGCCTTCTTGCGTCCAAGCCAAACTGCCAATCAAGCAAGCGCAAATTCGAAAATCTCTCGGACGCCTCGAAATGTAAGCCGGTTGCACACATCGATCAGAGGCCTTTTAGGTTTAGGAGTCACCCCCAACCCCCTCCCTGCAAGGACCTTGCATCGGTCACAGCCCTGGAGTGCTTCAAGTCGGCAGACTTGACGCTTGCCGAAGTGGAATTATTTGGGGGGAGGTCAGGGCTTCTGAGCAGCAGATATCCTGTTGGCAAAGTCAACCCAAGAGGCGTTCCTACACACCTCGCACCAGAAGCCCAGATAATTCACCAAGCTTCCGACAGGGTGTGTGGGGTCTCGGTTGAGTCTCCCTGGCCCCAGGAATCATGATGGGCGTCTCTCTATAGAGGAGCTCCTGAGTTGCACAAGTCGGGCCCAGCACCCAAACAATCTGCCTTCAGAGCCCCTGGAGGTTCTAGGAGCTCTATGACTTTATGTCTATGACTCTATGACCTTCTCAACCCCACAGCATCCTCAGCCCCCCAACACTGAAGGTTCAAGACATGGTTCTATGGGCCGCGGAATGACCCGGCCTTTATGTTCTCTCCCGTGCGGAAGCTGCTCCAATGAGGACAGCGGTGTCCTTCGGCGCAGCCAGGGGTTGGGGAGCGTCTGTTTTTTTTCGGGAAGTTTTTAGACCCAGCACAGGGCTTGGAGATTTCAGTTTGGTCCAAGTCGCAGTGCGTGGTACATTGTTCAGACGAGCACGGTCTACATCATGTGGTGTTGGGAGCTATCAGAATCTCACCACACACGCAGGCCCGAAGCCTGAAAGCCTTGCAATGCTAGGAATTGCCCACCCTTCTGTCCTATGGATGCGCTATGGTATCAGGAATTTGGTTTGGTCGCTAACAGTAGCTGCAGCTGGAGTTTTGCGTTGTCGAGCAGTCTGCAGTGAAACAGCAGAATGCCAGTTGCTACGAGCCCTGCGGCCGAAACCGCGGTTTGGGCAGCAAGAAGCTGCTGGTGAAGCTGGTCATGATTCGAATAGATGAGAATGCAAAGTATAGGGCATAAGTTACAAGTATGCCTTGCTACCTCGAGAATTCTATGGTGTTTTGGAAGGAGCTGCGGTAGGCATCGAAATGAACCACCGGTTCAATCTCCGGAGCCGTGTGCCCTTCCCATTTCTTGGGGGGTCAAGTACGTTAGGGTTCTAGTGTTTCGCGGCGCAGCATGTCTCGGAGAGTCTTCAAGAGAAAAGGATCAACTAGTTTCGAGGTTTCGCGCGCGAAGGGACTAAGACCGCACGGGTTTAAAAAAGGGACTTTAAGACCGTGCAGCCCGCATGAAGAATCAAACCTGTCAAACGAAAGCATCTGCACAACAGCTTTGGGTTAAGAGACTTGGGCACGTGGGCTTCAAGGTTTCGCATGCAGGTAGAGAGGAGGGGCCCCCCCTCACCCGTCGCACGGCCCGGAGAAGCAGATTGCACAGGGCCAGGGGCCGAGGGGTCTACTACCGTGTGCTCAAGGTCTTTTGACTTAGGGCTTATGGGAGAGCACCTTCTTGCCACTGCAAGACTGTAAGATGTATCAGCCGTTCTTTCCGGGACAGTAGAAGCCCTGCGGCATCAGCTTGCAACACCGATGCCATGTGTCCATGCTCTTGAAAAGACTCTACGCCACGGGACAAGCCTGAACCCTAACACATAGGGCCTATTCAGGAAGAATGTTCTAAGAGAAACGCCATGTTCTTGAGGATGTGGCTGTTGAGTGGGCGTTCGGACTGGGCGTAAAAGTTTCAGGAGGGTTGAGAGGTCCTTCCGCTTGGGTGGAGGGTTGTTGACTTCAGGGAGACGTATCTTGACCATGCAGTTGGGTGCCTTAATGCTTCCTTGCACATACTCGTAGTTGCCTAAGCATGAACGGTGGAGTAGCAGATCCTTGCCCCTGATGCTCGTCTCAGCAGCGAGAGGGCCTTGGTAGACCTGCCAGCAGCGATAGCTGTTCGGGTCACCACCACCAGGGGCTGCCTGCCCCCCCCAAGTCCTTGAGAGCCGATGTGAGTGTCAGTTCAAGCATGTGAAAAGGTTTTCCCCGCCTCAAGTTTCGGGCGGCCTCATGGTAGCCCCCTATCGCGCCAGTGCAGCAGGAATGATCTCGGAGCCCGAGCTGACCTGAGGTAGGGGTCTAACCGCGCACCGGTAGCCCCTAAAGTGCCCCCCCAAAACTCTGACGAACCTAACCGTGGCGATCTGGAACCGCCAGTTCGGGCTACGGTTGCAAATTCGGACGAGCCAAACAAAAGATGCATAGTGCCCCTGGTCGAAGCGCCTGGGATCTTCAGCCTCCCCGGCAAAGTGGACCCCCGTGCACCCTTAGCCCCTTCCCCGAACTCGGTCCAAGAGACCTTCAAGAACTCTTCTGAGGACCCTTCAGAGGCATCTTGAGAACCCTTCAGAGGCCATCTTGAGGCCATCTGAAGCCCCTGAGCTCCCGCAGCCCAAAGAAGACCAGGCGCTGCCAGGCGAGAGCAGGAGTGGCTGAAGCCGCCGCGAGACGCGAAAAGTGATTCAGGGAGCCTTTGGGTGCCGAAGTGAGTAGCTCGTAGCTCAGCAAGCCAACTAGGTAATGAAACTGCGATGGAAGCCCAGCTTCGAGGGAGGTTGCGACCTTTGGACAGCAAGGGGGTCGATGTCGGAGCCTCTCCAAAGCGGAAGGTCTCGGCCTTCGATGAGGAGGAGGCGGATTCGGAGGTCGAGCCCTCAATGCTATGCCAGGAGAGGTGTGCAGTGGGTGGAGCGGTTTAGAAATCAAGGTTTACGGTTTAAGGTTTAGGCGTTTAGGGTTTAGGGTTTAGGGTAGGCTGAGTAGTTGGGGTTCAATGGGAGAACACCTGTTGTTCAGCTTGAGCCTCTGCGCGACTTTTCTGTCTCAGCAGCTGCTCGCTGTCCCTCGGCAAGTGCCGCCGCCGCCTAGAAAAAGGCAACGCCGACCTGAGGTTGCTTCCATTTGTCGCGATCTTGTTGTTTAGGTGTGGGTAAACATGTCAATATGGATGATTAACTCATGCGTAGCCGCTGGGGTGTTGGCTGTTGGGGCCGTCAAGTTGCTTCCACGAAAGGGTTCGACCTCCAGGCAAAACGTCCGAGCAACCATAGCTCATTGTACGGTTGCTTTTTTGCTTTGCATATCATTGCGTCGGACTTAGTCTAAGCCTGCTTATTTGCCGCTCTTGTCTAGGGTTCAGGGTTTAGGATTAGGGTTGTAGAAGAGCTTTGAAAGGGCTTCTTTGCGTAATCTGCCCTTTCAGTCCTTCTAAACTGGAAGCCACTCCTTGGGATCCTCAAGCAATGAAGCGCCCTGAGCTTGTCAGCCCCTTAAAAAAAATTCTCTCAAACTGCTGTCACGCTTTCAAACTTCTCGAACCCGTGTTTCTTTGAACTCTCAAACTGCGAGCCTCCGAAGCATTGGAAGAACCAAGCTTTTCGTGCTCCAGGTGTCGTCAATGAAGCTTTGAGCCTGCAGGGTCTCAAACGGTCAAACACCTGAAATCTCTCGACCTCTAAAGCTTCGCATTCTTCGCATTCTTCGAACGTTTCTCGAACTCCAAACTCGACGCCCTTGACGCTTTCGAGCTCCGCTGTGTTTGCTCTCATGTGCGTGCGGTTAATCTTAAAGCTTTCAAGCATTCAAAAACCCTCTCGGTTCTAACTGTTGAACTCCGAAATCTTTCAAACTTTCGAACATTTCAAGAGTTCATACTCGTGACGCCCTAACTCCACTTAGGGCACCGTGGCCCAGCGCCCTGCAACAGGCCATGGCCGCTTGTTAGCATGGCACTCTTCCCAGCAGCGCTGCCAGTGCTGGGGCTCCGGGCTCCGCGGACTGGTGGTTGGAGATTCGAGTAGGGGAGGGCGAGAGATTGGGACGTGCGCGGTTGTTGGGGCAACCTCCCTTGAAATGGTTAAGCGTGTGGAGAGGGAGGGCGAGAGATTGAGAGAGAGAGAGAGAACCCAAGCTGTGACAGCCGGGACCCAAAAATCCCTTGGGTGGCCAAACAATACAGAGAGAGCCCAGGATGGCACTGGGTC